GAACGAAATATGTGCTTTAATTGTTGTGCGAATAGGTTCTTACTAAATAAACTATTTAAATTTAAATTAAAATACAATCAGTGGACCTTATTTTTTTTATACACTTATTACACTTTTCAATTGTTACAATCACATAATTTACCAATAGTTATAAATAGAATGTTTAATTTATTCAATTATTAATTTGTTTACAGAATCCAAACAGTGATGAACTTCTAGTAAATTTCACAGATATAATGAAAGAATTTTCAAACATTGAACAGTTTGATGCCCTTCAGTTCTTTATTTATAAAAAAATGTTTGAAACGATATTGTGTGCACTGATAGTGAAGTATAAAGAATTTTTTTCTTTACTTCTGCGCTATAACTATACTGGTAAACATTTACTCAATTAATTTCATACAAATTTTAATGGAAATAGAATCGTGTATATGTATATTTTTTCATACCAGCGTTGAATGTTTAGGGGCGTTTAATCTCATGAAATTTTTATATTCCAAAGCGCCAACTTCAATTTACAATATCTGTTACCGAATGCTGGTGTATATTATAGCCGATTTTTAAAAATGTTAAATTATTAACTTGGTTAGAGAAAGTCTACAGTTAAAAGTCTATAGCTGTTAAAGTTTAATTTCCTTTGAAAATGTTTAGTTTTTAAAGATTTTGTGAATATGACGTAGTCTTAGACAGTGGCGTAGCGAGGTCGGGTGTCACCCGGTCCGGGACATCATGTGCCCCCCCCCCCGAAAAAGACGTGTTATATATATATATATATATATATATATATATATATATATATATATATATATATATATATATATATATATATATATATATATATATATATATATATATGTTTACAACGGCCTATATATATATAGTTGCAATTAGTGACATCCTCCTCCCATTTTGCCTAATGGAATTAATTTGTGCATACAATCCACTTGTTAATTAATGTGGAAAAAGCATCGTTTTTATCGTAAGTCATTAGATTTTGGTATCACCCCCTCTACTGTCGTTGAGTGACTTATCTGTTAATCAAAATACTCAACAAATTCCTCTCTAAATTCTTCAGTTGGTTTCACCCCCCCCCCCCCGCCCTCCTTTAAAGTGTGCACAGTTAATAGTAAAGATGGTTATCTATAGTCACTTATTAAAACAAGTGGATTCACTCTTATTAATTATTAATTGTACTGGCAAAAAGCATTTTCCTACTACATGTTTTACGATTTTTCGCCATGGTGACACACCATAAATGGTGTCACCCGTTGCGACCCGCACTCCCCCCCCCCCCCCCTCCTCCTTACGCCTCTGGTCGTAGGTTACCAGAAAGAATGTTATATTGTTACACACATAATGTAGCCTACTATAAATTTTTGAAATCTAGGATTTTAAACTAAATTTTATCTTATTTAAAAAAATGACTCGCACAACTATGTATAACAAATTGCAATGTTGAGATCGGGCCAACAATGTTTTTACACATTTCTTTAATGCATAGTGAGTTCGAAGTTCGAAGCCCAGTCGCTTTTACCTTCGCTAACTTGTGTCACACACGCATCACAAATGCGTGAATCCGAGGACGTAGTGCTGAATTGTCGAGACCTCCTATTTCGCAATCATGCTCCATCACTCCGCCAGTATTTCTTTCAGACTTTTTTCTCCGCCGGGGGACACTTGAAATTTTCGGGGGGGGGGGGGGGCGGTAGACTTTCTTTGGGGGGGGGCGGACACTGTTAAAAGTATATATTTTCTATATAAATTATATAAATTTCATTTAGTTCGGTGGGGGTGGGGGGGGGGGCGGTAAAAAAAATTTCGGGGGGGGGGGGGGGGCGAAGAGATGTCTGGAAGAAACTCTGCACCCCGCCCCAGATTATAATTACAATATATAGCGTTTATCCACAGAATTGACCTTTTCATACTTGAGAAAACTGAATCTACTTGACATAAAAGCACCTGGGTTTTCGCTGTCTTTAATACGTAATACGTTGAATCTCGTACTAAGTGGCAGCCACCACAGTATCGAGTTCGCCCAGGTAAGTTTCCTAAATTGCATTATTTTATTATTAAGTTGAAAATAAAGTTTCTTTCAGGCATCTCTCGGAGACGGGGGAAGAAGCACTGCACCCCCCCCCCCTTTTACCCCCCACCCCCAGCACATCTAGAAAAAAATATATTATTTATATTTAAAATATACTGTAAGTACATTGGTTAACGTTTATAACAGTGTGTAGCATAATTGCTACGTCGTGAATCCTATTATTAAAAAAAGTAAACAATGATAAACAGGTTTTTATTGATGATTTTTCACTTATTATGTACGAAGACTCTAATTATGCAGTGACATAGCTCAACTTCTATTCAAAAGAGCTGTAAGCTATGTCGAGGTATTATAATGTGCCTTCTACTTAGGTGTAATATTGGTGTATATAAACTAACTAATTGGTCGGTAAAGCTCATGAAAAGTCCCGAGTTCGAAACCCCGGGTACATGAGGCTCGATGCTTGGGGACAGCGACCCATCTAGGAGAGAAAACTCCAAAAAACAAACAACTACTGCAGTGTAGTTCTTCTTAGTTGGGCAAATGCTGTGGAAGCAAATCCGAAAAGAAAAGTAGGCTGAAATCGGAGTCAACTGCCTATACTATACGGCACATAACAAGTTGACACGTTATACTTAATTGCCTTCAACATTACAGTTAAGAACTAAGAGGAAGAAGAAAGAATTGAGTTAATAATTTTTTAAATTCAATTTCGTTATCTTTTATTATAATAGTTTTTGACATTCTGAGTCATAATTAACATTCATCAAACGGCTGTATATGTAAGGTGAAATCAACAAACTATTATATAAATGATAAGATTAAAATTTTGCTCACTAAGACCACGTATTAACTCAAAGTTGACATCACAGTTTTACAGAATTCGTTCAGATGCCAATCAAATATAGATATTTAAGAGATTACCTGTATTGAACCTAATTATAGCGACTCTATAATGTTTAGGCTTCGGCCTATATATATATATACATATATATATATATATATATTAAAATGTAGATTTAGAAAACGTATTATATTATAATATTTGCAATATTGTTTCAGCGGTTGGTTACAATTGGCGTCGTCGAATTCTTTAATGATTATATCATCTTATACAATAAAATAAAGGTGAGCTAAACTCGGATTATTATTTAATTTTCATTAAATAAAATTAAACAGTGTTTGAAATGATTAGAAACGTGTGTCATGTTTGAAATGAAACGATAGTTAAAAGAAACGTATTAAAGGACACCGTAAAGGAGTATTTTTAAATGAATTTTATAAGTTTTAGAGATTTATTTTTTTGTTACTTGAATTGAATTGTGTTAATTAAATCAATTTTCGACAAGGATCGCTAAGGCTTTTAGTACTAAATTAATCTAGCGAGCTGCAATAACAACAATAATAATAATGTTTCGCCGTTTTTCTTGGAAAGGGAAACAAGTCAATTAAAATTTTCTGCAAAATCAGCTTAGTTTAGTTATATTCCTTTCGAAAATAGAGACATTAATATGTGTAGAGAGAAATGGGAAGGATTGAGGTAAAGTGTGATGACGTTTTTTTGGAGATGGTCTGATTTTTTGTGCCGATTTTTTGAGGGGTGGAGTAAAAAAAAATGTCTGCAAGGAACAGTGGGGTTATATATGGACGTCGCACCTAGGCAGTGAACAGTCCTTACATAACTTAGTTTATTTTACTTTTAATATCTCATCGTTATAGGAAAACCAGCTTAATATTTCTGGGGAAAAACATCGCTACTTAAAAAAAAGGATTCAATGCAATTTGGTTGATAGGTAGACTGTGGCGTTTGTGTGTGGGGGGGATTACTTTGTTAGGGTGACAAATGTGCGAAAGAAACGTGGCATCTTGTACCAAACGACCCGTAGTATGGAAGAGTAACATCTCAGAAACCATCGTTGATCTTGCAAAAAACAAAAACAAAAAAACTGAATAAAACTCTTCTGTTACGATCTTAAATTATTAACACCTAAATGTTTTTGATAAACAGTTGAGTGAAGGGGATATGCACAAGAAAAATCACCTGAAATTCTTATTTTCCATAATAATGAGATTTTTACTCTTTCGGATTCTTTGTCCATTTCTTAATTCAGAAAATAAGAACGTAAATAAGAAAAAAAAATATTATGTTTAAAATTATTTTTTATGACCCTATAGGCCTATACGACAAAATAATCATATTTTCCAATAGACTACAAAATGTTTGTCATCCGCAATCATATTGTATTTTGGCATCTTTGGAAAGCTGGATCTCTCCTGTATTCGTCAATTCTTATTTCCGTTAAATTTGAAACACCCAAAGCTTTCAACTGGCTTTACAAATCACACATGAATTGTATTTTTCTGACCTGATTTTTGTTAGATTTTGTTTTTTTCTTTGCCGTTTTATTTACAATACAAATTCCCACCATATTTTCTGTATTTATTATTAAAGTAACAATAAAACATGTGTCACAAGGGAATTTGATGTTAAAAAACATTCAATTTTCGCATACAAAGTATAGTGCTTTTTTCGGACCTTTTAGAATTCAGATCGGTAGCGTAATCAAAAAGTTGTCGTGACAAAAGTTTTTACATATTGTACTGAAATATAAGCAGTGTAAATGTGATTGCTTTAAATACAAATTTTAAAAAGCCTTAGTGTTTTTTATAAGTGCCGAAAAATTTAAATTGGCGGATGTTTTTTTCGGGTTTCCATGACAACCGAGATTGATTTTAAACTCCGTTTAGCTGTTTAGTAGTTACTTTCATGTCATGTGCCAAACATGGCAAAAGTATTTAAAAGTAAATACTTTAAATTAAAAGTATTTAAAATAAATAAAATGCTTCAGATGTTAAATGGAAAAACTTGAAAAAACTGAGCATATCCCCTAAACAAAAAAAACAGAAAAATTTTAATTAATCAAAACGCAAACAACACAAGGTACATGAATTTCAAATGTTTTTTATTTCATCAGAAAATGCATAGTAAAACTGCCATCTAAAAATATTCTACAACAAACTTATAGGTCTACGACAAATCAATATTCTCCTTTGCTGGTTTTAAACGCAAAAGTAAAATATAAAATTCTGCAAGGCGATACAAAATAAATTATATAATAAAATGTTTTCACTATTTAAATTCAGCGTACATCATTCTCCACCGTCATTTATATTTTCCGTGATAGCTCGTTCATGATGCATATCAACCCTGATGGTGCAATATCACCATTCAACTTTATTCAACTTTTTTTTCAATAACGATAACAAAAGTGGCAACGGAGCATTTTTTTCCATTGGTCTTTTTTTTAAAAAAAAAAAAAACATAATAACAACATTTTAGTAAAATAAAAGGCAATTGAGTAGTAAAGACATCAGCATCAAAGCATTCGAAAATTCGGGAAAACAATAATATTACATAGTTATTAAACACCATGGGTTAAAATGAGAATAATCTAGATAGATGAGAAATGTTGCAATGAGTCAGCTTAGGAGGTCATGAAATAATATTTTTAGCTTAGTCATGGTGCAATATTCCCCTTCATGGTGCAATGTCACCCTTCAATGTGGAACATATTGAAAATGTATAAATATAATAAAAAGGATATGTAATAAAATAGTTTTCGTATTATTAATAACAAAATAGTAACACGTCCAAAACTGCTCTAAAAACTAAAGAAAAACTTTTTTTTAAAATTGTCCATGTCAACAGCATCACTTAGCCTTAATAGGCTTTCCTTTTTTTATTTCGTCTGTTAGGGTTTTTAACGACATTTTGAGGTTTTTTAAACGTTTTTCGATTTCGGACCGTGGGAGTTCAGTATTGTCAACTTTGAATGCATCTCGCAACTGTTTTAGCGCATTAAATGCATCTTGTTGATAACTAATGAAATTTGAGTCATTATATATGAAAATTGAAATGTATGTCAGTTTTAGCACTTCATCATTTGTTTGAAAATTATCTTCCATTTTAAGTAAACATTCATAAAGCTCAACACATATGCTTTCAAAAAACGTGTTCTTGTTGTTAGTGAAACTCTGAGGCCTTAGTGAGTCTACGTAGTTGATGAGTAGAACTTGTTGTTCCTTTCTTATCTTCTTATCCGTCGTGGAGTTATCAAACAAGACACACCGGTTGCTACATTCATGTAAAAGATCTTTGAGGTACTCGTCTGGGTTTTCTTTTAACCAGTCAGTAAACGACACTGTTTCCGTGTTTTTAAAATTATCTCCTCGAGTTATTACAATGATAATCTTTGAATGAGTTTCTTTGGGAAATTGCGATTTGAAATCACCGATTTTATCTTTTTCATACGGCGTCAATCTCGTTCCATAAGCTAAAACCAATATTAATGCGTTATAATTGCCAAAAGAGCTAGGTTTACACATTTTTTGCCATAATGTTTTTTTCCCCCTAGAATCTATATCATAAAACTCCGACGTATCAGTGCAATATACATTGCGTGAATCAATCACTGAGCTGTCATTTCGTATACTATCATTAGTTGGTCGGCTAAAAGCGTCCTTTTCAAGAATCCTGTTTCCAAGTGTGCTTTTCCCATGCCCACTTTTACCAAACAAAACTAACTTGACATCACCACCTGCGGGAAGCCGTTGTGTTTTCATCTACGAATTTGAAACAAGTTAATACAATATTGAATTCGTATATAGATTTAACGTTGATTTTCTAGCCAAAACTAACGCATTTTAAACAAATAAACAAAGCTTGACATCCGCTCATAGCCATACGGGCAAAAATAATTTCAAATATTCAAAAGATTTCTTAAGATTAAATAGGCCAATTTTTTAACAATTTTCCTCTGAGTTTCGTCTATGAGCACATTATAGAAAGCTAAGTTGGCTAGAGAACGTTATATAAGTTATTGTGCGCATGTTCTACGACTCAAAATTTTGCATTCTTCGGCACACCACTACACCATAAATCGTCTTAAAACCATTCAAACAGAAAACCACCTTCCACATTTAACTTCGAAAAGCAACCCGCAATTTTTCCACTAATCAGGACACAATTTGGTTGATTAATGCAAGAACTGAGTTTATGTATGTGCACAACGTGGATCACAATATTTTAGTGATAAAATATTATTTTTAAAACACTTTATTTCAATAAGGTTTTTAAATACAGTAAATTAAGAAAATAAAACAAACTTTCTTTCTTTATTGAAAGCATAGATTGCTACTTAACACTTTTCTTTCTTATTGTTTTAAAGTCTTTTTTAATAATTAACTTCACCGATCGCTATCTGGAGTGAAACCAATCAACCGAAACAAAAAGGTCACTGTCGTAACCAGATTGATCCAGTCTTTGCTTGAGACTAATTCTTCTTTCTTTTTGTTGTGGAATTTAGTAATATTTTATTGATTGTTAATGACAAATTTTATATCAAATTAGAATAAAGATTAAATATTCTTGCGTTGTCTTCAGGGACGATGGATCTGGAAATCGCATTCGGAATTGAGTTGCCGTATGCACCACAACCCCATTAGCAAGCAAACAGCCATAAATAAATAAAAGCTTAGAAAATAGCGTGTATTTTAAAACACGTGTAGTTCACTAGGTATATTAACATTCGTAAGGCAAATTGAAACAGTCTGTTATCATTTCTTTTCTAAGGGGTCGCGTGGTCGAGTCGGTTCAACTCATAGTTGCTAAACCGAAAAGTCTCGAGTACGAACCTTCGGGTAGATGAGGCTCGTTAGCTGGGGACAGCCACTCTTATAGGAGAGACAACTCCAAAATCAAACAACTGCTGCCTTGTAGTTTGTTCTTGGTTGGACAAAGGCTATGGAAACAAATCCAAAACGAAAAGCAGGCTAAAATCGGAGTCAATTGCCTCAATGGCGCATAACCAGTTGTCACGTATCCTTAATTGTGATTGAAGCGTGGTTGAGTCGGTGGAGATACATTCGAAAAAAAAAGTCTCGAGTTCAAACCCTCTGGCAGACAAGGCTCGATCACTTCCAACACTAAAAATTAAGAACGAAGAAGAAGAAGATTTCTTTTCTCATTAGTTAACAGCATCTTGCCCGTGACTGCTCGGTATATATTTTTTAGATCTAGATTATTAGAATCTTACCTCGATATAAAGGTCCACCGCATTACAGTTGTATTTTCCATGTCTAATACTGTCAAGTTTATCTTCGGCTATATAGTTCAGGTTAAGATCAAATACCATGTTCTTAACCTGTTCTTTTAGAACTTCAATCTTTTTCTTTAGGTTTCTATATTCGTTATTGTCCACGAATAACTTAAATCCTTCCTTTGACAGTAAATCCTAATTGAATTAGAAATAAGAAAAACAAATGTAATCAAGAGCCATACACAAGTCGTTTATGCATATCATTTTAATTAGTTTATGTTAATATATTTTAGAAACTTTCATTTTCATCATTGAACTATTTTAACACGAATGAACGCAAATAATTATTGAACTATTGTCATCTGAAAGACGGAGAGAAGAAGTGGGATGAGGCCAGACTTACAATGGGTTTAACAAAGTCGAATAAGAAAGCTCTCTGAAATCTTCACAAGATCTGCTTAAGTGGGACAATACATCACTATTTAATGAGATGCAGACACTGTATATAAAGCACTTGCTACGTTTCTATTGCAACGTTCGCTTGGGGCATGTCGAACCTTTAATTTTACAGTCAGATATTTGTCAGTTTTTTGTGTTTGTCTGTCTTTTGTTTACATTGATCGTTTGCCTATTCTGTTCTTTGTTAATGTCTTTTTTGTCTAAGTCGGTCTTTTGTTTATTTCGTGTTTTTTTTTTTGATGTTGGTCTGTTGTAAAGATTATATCGGTCTTTTGTATTGATCGATATCTATTTGTTTGAAAAAAATAAAAGTAAACCAGCAGTTTTAGTTTTATAAATAACTGAAAATGTGTTTGAAACATCATACCTTCAGCTTTTCTAAAGATTCAGAGCACTTCACCCAAATCTTGTATAAATCATTGTAAAACTCTTTAGCTTCTTTACTATCCACTGTCTTTACTCTTTGCTCTCCTAAAAATGTATTAACAAGTAAATACCAAATCATTACACTACAATTATAATAAACTTAATCCTTTTAATTGATGCATATAACATAAAAACTTACAATACATTATTTATGAAAAACATTTCGTAAAAAAGATTACGGGTGAGATTTTGATAGAATTTTTTTTATACATCAGGATTATATTGAAAGTTTCGCAAAATGGTAGTCAGATACGTGATTTATCCATTTCTGCGATTAAAATTGCAAACCTTCATTTCCCCAAAACATAATATTTAATTTAAGGTATCTGATTTATGTCGTTTCATTTCCGATGATAGTACAATAAGCACAAACTAATAAAGAAAAAAAACCAAACCATTCAAACATTCATTTGTTTACTGTAGCAAGGTTATACAAGGAAAACAAACAGGCGTTGGCTACTTTGTACATTTAAATCTGAGTAATATTAAATATATATAGGCCTATGAGTGTGTGTATGTGTGTATGTGCGTGCGTTTGTGTGTGTGTGTTTTATTATTAAAATCTACATGCTAAGAAAAATACCTGTGATTTTCATCGAATTACATTTTATAAGTGATTTCAACGTATAAAATGTCTCTTCAGGAAACTGTAAGATTTTTTCATTCTCTGTAAAACAATTTTATTGTGTAAATTAAGCAAAAATATTTACTATTGAATTTACAAGTGAAAACATAAATGATAAAGGACTAGTTTCCATAAAGATAAGATGGCATTGCTACTGATTGTTTTTTAATTTAAGTTAAAAGATACAATCAACTTTTTAAAAAAATGAAGAACACAAAGATAAGTCGTTTGTTCGTTTCTATATCTTAAGGTTTAAATACATTATTTTTAACTAAGACTATGAATAAGTCAACTCCTATTTGTACAAATGTCTTCTCTGAAATGCTATTAATCCTTTTCGACTTTTGAACCAATGTTATTTAACAATATTTTAACTTAAATAAACCAATATTTTGCTTGTGATCCAACAATAATGATAAGTTAGATTGCACTAAGTCATCTAATACTCTTTCTCTCTCTCATCTAACTAAAACATTTACTGTGGTTCTGTCACTTACTTGTTTCATTGTTCATTATTTTATATTTTCTCTCTTCATGGCTTGTTGTATATTTTTCCACCCTCCGCCATTTTTCTTCAGCCTCGCTGAAAGCTTTCAGTAGCTCTAAAGCTTCTAACATACTGTTTACATTGATATGATCGTAACTCATCGTGTGTAAAGTACGTTTTATGTCTTTGAAAATGCCTCGTTGGATATTTTTGTCTATAAACTTTATAACTGAAGCAAATTTGATGAATGAAGATGTATCATAAGTCTCCTTTGATGATTTGCGAAACTCGCTAAGTTCATCTTCAATTTTTTTTATCTCGCTTTCACCTACGATGAAAAAAAATTGCCTTTTAAAAAAATAAGAATGGGATTTTCATAGAAATTAATTATATTGCTTGCATAATAATCAATAATAAGCTCGAAATCACAGTTCACATCCTTAGCATACACCTTTTTATCCAACCGTATTTGGTACACAGTTATACAATAACAACAGGCGAATGAAACTTGTAAAACAGCAGTTATGATAATGCTGGTTTCCAGCCAGGTTTTAGATCAGATAACAAGGTACTGCCACGACTGGTTTTTTTTTTGGCATAAAATGGAGGTTTTATCTGCAGTTGGAACGATGCAATGAACAGCATCATAAATACTAATAGTTTAGCTGTCTGTGTATGTATCTATCTATCTATCGGACAAGAACGCTATAGAGAAAACACAAGCAGAGTAAAAAAATTTCACAGTAAAACGAAAACGAAACGTGACGTCACATGGAACATATAGTATGAAAGAGCCGAAAGCCGGCTATAGAGAAAACACAAGCAGAATAAAAACGTTCATAGTAAAACGAAAACGAAACATGACATCACATGGAACATATAGTAGGAAATAGTCTAAAGCCGGGGGAGTGCACACAATAATATGACGTCATTGATTCTTGAGTAAACATTAAATTAAAAAGCCAATTTTGTCTAATCTTAAAAATGGTTTGCGTGAAGAGTTTCTTTCAGAGGCGTAACGAGGGGGGGCGACCTTGGGGGGGGGGCGCCAAAATGGGTTGGAAAAACAAATTGAAAGTTTTAGGGGGTGGAAATCAAAAGTTCGAGGGGGGTGCGAATCGAAAGTTTGTTCCCGGGCGCCGGAAAGGGTCGCTACGCCTCTGGTTTCTTTCATACAGTTTTTTGGGTAGGGGTGAAGCCCATCCTCCGCGTATGAACGTCTAAGCCCCCCCCCCCCCCCCTAAACTCAAAAGAAATGTCGTCATCGATACTCTATTATAACATTACAGCCTAATTCATGTGTCTAATCTAAAAAGTGGTTTGCTTGCAGAGTTTCATTCATGCATCTCTTCGGGTAGGGGCGAAGCCCCTTTAACCCCCACCCCCACTCAACCCCCACGGTAGAACTTCTAATTCCTCCGCCTAAAAAATCAAAACAAAAAACGAAATATAATTGATATAGAAAATATATTTTACTTTTACCAGTGTCGTCCTCCCCTGCCCTGGATAATTTTATTCGCCTCTGCAAAAATTCAAGTGCCCACCCCCGAAAAATATCTGAAAGAAGCAGTGTCTGCGAGAGTGATGTTTATCGGCCAAAAGTAGTAAACGATGTAACGAGTTTAAATTATAGATGTAGGCTCTACCTTCAGTTTGTACGATCTACAAATACGACCAGCGTTTCTTTCAGAATTTTTCCTCCCCAGAGAGGGGTGGGGGACCTCGAAATTTTCTAATCTAAAAAGTGTTTTGCGTACACAGTTTCTTTCATGCATCTCTTACGGTAGCGGCGAAGCCCCTCCCAGGCTCTCCGTTTAGTTTGTATGATCAACAAATGCTATCAGTGTTTCTTTCAGACTTTTTCCTGCCCGGAGAGGGGTGGGGGTGCTTGAAATTTTCGGGGGCGGGGTGGAATTTTCTGGGAGGGGTCGGACTGGAAAAAGTATATAATTATATATCGTTGAATGGGACGGTAAATGTGCTTTGGTGTGTGTTTGGGGGTGGGGCTGTGCGGAGCCCCTTCTTCCCAAGCAGTTGCCTGAAAGAAACTCTAAATGCGACTTTTGTCATGATTGAGATTAGGTGCAAGGTTTAGAGATATGGCTACGACTATATTAAATATATTTAGTATAAATGCGCGATAACTACGTGTAGATCAAGCTTTAATGCGATAAAAATGACGATTCTTGATAAAAATCCGTTTTCAATGTCATTTTTCGTTTCCGGTTAAATTTAATTAAGGTGGTGATTTTGGTTTTGGTTTTAGTTTAGAGAAAAGAGATCGCACTATCAACCTAGCGCCCCTTGTATCCTCCCTCAACGGGCCAATTTTCTCGTATCTATATATCTATACAAGCCGTTCCAGTCAGGCCCTGCACTGGCCCTTGTAAAAAACCGATCTGGTTAAACGATTAGTAAAGTGTTATAAATTAAATACGCATTGAGCCTTTGTAAAATTAAAAGTTAAGGAAGCGGTCCATTATCGGCAACATACTCTTGAAAGTGATTAGATTAATTTTCTGGCGTTGTGGGACGAGCGGAAAGGGAATAAAAAAAAGTCAGTAGGTTGACAAACTGTTAATTACTCTAGGTCATTTCCCACCCCAACTCCATTATTTACCCCATGTACACATCCGTGCCCAAACAATTGCAGTAAAACATCACCCCAATCAATTATCCACCCGTCATTTTGAGAGAGATCCGGGTGAATTAGGTTAGGTATAAGTATAGAGTTTAGGTATAGGTTTGAATATAGGTATGTGTTTTAGGAATATGTGTAGGTGTTTGTGTATGTATAGGTGCAGGTAAAGCCGTTGATGTAGGAGTTTTTAGTGGAGGTTCTGGTGAGGGTTGGTTTATGTTTATGCTTATGTTTGTTTTGTGTGCTTGTATTTATGTTTTAAGGGTCATAGTGAGGTTTAGTATTTATGCTTATTTTCTATTTATGTTTCACTTAGTTTTTATGTCTTTGTTTATGGGGTTGTTATTTTGGACGTAGACGAAAGAGGAAGGAAAAGTTCTTTGTTTATGTTTTTGCCAATGTTAATATTTGTGGTTGTGGTCGGTTGTCGTCAGGGTTAGATTTTGAGTTAGGTTTATTGTTATATTTTTTTCTATATTTGCATATAGACATTTGATTGGAAAGTTAATATATTTCCAAAACCCGGGCAGCGTTGGGTATATAAGGCTAAATAAACACACAATTCACGGTACTCTAAAGATAGGTTTTTTACAAACGTTTGAGATCCATTAGTTTAGTATGAGTATAAAACCATAATATTATAACCACAAACATGCAGTCCAAAAGTGAAAGAAATTATCTTCGCAATACACAATGTCAGTGAAATATATCAAGTTTATCAAGAATTATTCGAGTTCAGATAAAAAATTTTAGAGTCGATCAATTATTTTCCAGAAAATAAACCGGCAGTGATCTCCCCTAAACTTTCTCGAATATTCTTTTATAAAACAACAGGGGATGGGAACTCGGGCTATAGACATGATTTTTAATCCATTTTAAATACTTAAAGTTTTAAAAATAGAATAAAATCTCGTAGACAAAAGAATTGCACACCAAGTGAACGCCAAATAAAAAAGTGCATAATAGTGCGCAATATTATTAGTACTTTAAAAATTTACATTAGTTTTTTGAGAAATCGGAAGTAGCGTAAATTATTACTTCCGGTCAACGGAAATTACTCAAAATTTGATAGAAGGTAGAGAATTAGATCTTTTACTTACATGTGAAATTTCATTTATCTATCTGAAATAGTAATCAAGTTATAGGCTTTTGAAAAATTCAAAGTAGAAAAAATACTACTTCTGGTTATTGGAAATCGCTCAAAAGTGATACGGATCTACGATTTTGATAAAATACTTATTTATGAAATTTCATCAACCTAGTTGTAACGGTACTCAAGTTATCGTGTTTACACACGGACAGACAGACAGACACACAGACATACGGACAGAATTGCAAAGCCCAGTTTTTCCTCTTAATTTTGATAAATCTGGATTGATAATTTTTGCCCGATTAAAATAACTCCTCTATACTTCGGATGTGATGAAGGACTGAGGTGTAATACGGTGAAAATTGTTAAAATGTCAAGTGCTTTTTGTGCACGATTACAATACTTTCTCTATACTTCGTATATACGAGAAAGTAAAAAAATTAAAATGCTTACTAATGGCTGCGAAATTTTCAATGATAATTATTTCATTGCCGATGTCGAAACCGTTAACCAGGTGTGTTGCTTCTGAATTTAGTTCATCCTCAGCTGAACCCAAGTACGTAATTTTCTCCTGTATAAAAGATAAGAGAAACGTTACACTTAAGTCTTTTTATACCAATCTCGAAATAAGTTTTTGTTCTGTGTCTGAAAATCTTACCACCACTTATCTTCGTTATATATATATATATATATATATATATATATATATATATAATATATATATATATATATATATATATATATATATATATATATATATATATATATAAAGAAAATAACACGATTTTCATAAAGTGTATAATGCACAATTAAACATTTTTAATTATTCCTTACTTATAACATGTAGGCTATTTTAATTTCCTACTCAAATTTTATAAAGTGCATCATTTGTGTTATTCGTATACATTTTTAAGTAAAAGGAACTAAATTTAGTGTATTATTAGTAAACGCATTATGATTTTTTTTAAATCAATCAACTGTCAACATAATGAAGAATTTGAAAAAAAATATTGTTTTACCTTTACAAATGTTCTTCGAATAATTACAGTTATGGAGTGTGCAGTTTCTAAACAGTTGAAAACCTCAGTCACTCCGTTATCTTCTATGAGACCAGTTCGGACTTTAAGTGCGTATTCCTCAGGTAGCATCAACGAGCTGCAAAGCTCATCAAATGTTTTAACAAATGAAAACCTAGTTTCAGGAATGTTGATCTGAAATGAGATTTTTTTTTTAAATTTGAATTTATTAGTTTTTTAAAGAAAATAATGAATCAAAACTAGGCGTATTTTGCTGAGTTATATATATTTCTAACATATAAAAATTGTTAAACTAAATTAAAATGGGTATATATTCTGAGGTTTAAAAAATGTCTTATCACTATTCTGTGGTTGCTACTTACCAATGTCTTTTGTGTGTTTTCCGAAGATTCAGGCGAACTGTTACCCACAGCATTCCATGTTTTGGCATTGTACTGTTGTCCAATTTTCATTTGCTTATTATACGGAACATGTCTTTCCATTTTAGCTCAGCCTAAACAAATCTATCGAAATATTGTCATCATTTTACTTCTCCCCTACTATATTCTGTTAGAAAAACGAGAAAAAAAAGTCAAAATACATTAATTGACATCATTTCCGTCAGTCTACTTATTAATACTTCTTTTCGTACATACAACAATCAATCCACCATCTTCACTCTACTCTCCCCCCCCCCCCCCACACACACACAACCATAAGACACTCATCTCATCTCCTCATATTCAAACTCTACTCCATCAATCTTATGTGTCCTATGTGTCATTGGCACGAACAGAGTTTCTTCCAGGCATCTCTTAGGGGGGGGGGCTCCACAACGTCTACCGCCCCCCCCCCGCCCCAAAAGAAATGAAATTTATACAGAAAATATATACATTTAACAGTGTCCGCCCCTCCCCCCGATGAAAGTCTACCGCCCCCCCCCCCCCGAAATTTTAATGCCCCCCCCCCCCCCCCCGAGAAAAAAACTGGAAGAAACACTGGGCACGAACGACATAAGTCAACATAAACCATTACCAAGCCTCAAACCTTTTCTTGGTTCTATTCCTGTCCCCATTCACAACAATAATCCCTATCTTAACCATAACCCTATTCCTATTCATATCCTTTCTCTAACATTTACCCCTACCATTATCCGTGCCCTAATCCGATTCCTATTCGTTTTCAATTTCTTTTCATTTTTTTTTCGTTTTCTTTTTTATCTGTTTTTTTTTTAACTTTTCCCCATTCATACTCCTACTTCTTTCAATATTGTTACACCCCTATGAATAATTACATCCCTTATTCTTATCCTGATTCTAGTTCTACTAAACTTAATTGTAACCCAAAACCCGATCATATTTTGAAAACTGACGTTTAACTGATCCATAGCCATAACTTTAACATTAACTCTAACCTTAACGTTAACCTTTACAGTTACCCAGTCCCTTTTAGGTTTAGAGTTATTTAGTAATCAACAGGTTTTTTTTAGTTAAATAATTTTATTTTGTTCTGGGAAGGGGCTGTAGACGTGCTTCGGGTGGGGGGTGCGATGCCACCACAAAGAAATGCTGAAACACTGGTGTTCGGGTAACGAAAATAAGCGAAATGGAATACATATATGTCACTTTACACTTCCCTAAAGTTAGCCCTAAATTTATTCAAGCCCACTTACTCTAACCAGTACCAGATGAAAGTTTAAAAAATAAGCATATTTTGAAAAGCAATGATCGTGAATTCGCACCTATCTAAAAGTAAAGTATTTGTTTACTTACGTACACACACGGTGAATCATTCAGACTGTGTTGCAGCAGTAAAAAAACTAAGCTACGAGCTGTGACCAGGTTTTCTACACATCAGGTAACGGCGCAGTACACAACGAATGTTTTCCCAGAAAACGGCGAGTCGATTTTCCTATAATTTCAAGATAACCGGGCATGCGCAGAAGCAAGGACGGTTATCGTTTGCTTTGCAGGGTTGCATATCACACCGGCTCTCATTATTCGCCTCGGTGACACTTCAGTAGAGAATTAAATGGTTTTTGTATCCAGAGAAACTTGTGCGTTATTCTGTTTTCCAATCGCGATTTCAAGTAGAGAGAGACACTAGAACACTAAGAATAGAGGGAGAATCAATTTAAATGTTTAGACCTTATTCAACTCATACAAAAATACCCTTAACTGTAAAATATTAAATCGACTTTGAACATTTGTTCGGGGTCCTAAGTGCTTTGACCAAACAGACTTTGACCTTAGATGGTATGACCACAGCGGGACTTGGATTAATAGTAAAACTAAACTTCAATTTTATTTAAATTTATGAAACAACTAGCCGTCCCAGCCAGGCCCTGCACTGGCCTCTGTGAAAAACCTATCAGTAAAGGACTATTTCTTGTGTTTTTATTTAGAAGTATTTACCCGGCATTACCGGGTTTAGGAAATATATTACTTTTCGAATTAACCCTAACCACAACTAACTAAAAATAAACACACAAAAAAGCGAACATAACGCAAACACAAACATAAACGAGAACCAAACCCCAAAAACAAACGCAAACCCAAACACAAAAAAAAAACCACAACTACCAAAAAAGCAAACACAAGCACAAACGAAAAAACAATCAGAAATAGAAGCACAAACGCAAGCCTAAACGCAAACGATAACTCAAAATCAAGCAAAAGTAAAGGCGAACATCAACACAAACTTAAATGCAAATATAAACGCAAAGTGCTAACAGTCTAGTCCGGGGCGCCATTTGAACAGCCTGATTCATTTTAATAATCAACCATAATACACCAGGTTATCCATAGACTTTTGTACCCACTTAAACGAACGAAGTCGCCACTTGATCAAGTCGAGTTTTTTACTCTATTCTTCTATTGCAGGGGTCGGCTACCTGCGGCTTTCGAGCTGGGTAGTTTGCTCTTGCGACACTTTGCAAGAAATGTGTCTTCTGTTGTGTGCAGTCCGTATTTAGATGTGCTATACTCTCCAATATTCTCCATGGTTTTAACTTCGATAGTCTAGATGACGAGTATTTAATTTATACATGATGAATACTAATATTATTACATCATGCCCATACGTAAAATATAATTATGCAACTTTAAAACTTATGTTAAAGAGACATGCACAAGAAAGACACCAAAATTCTGATTTTTCGTCATAATGGGCCTCATGCACTTTTGGATTCCTTGTCCATTTCTTAATTGCACTTACTAAAACGAACGTAGGCGTTATAGTGCTCACAAGAAGGCCCGAGACGCAAAATATATCAGAATGTCGGGGTGCCAGAGAAAGCCCTGGATTCGATTTAGTGAGCGACTATAGTTATAGTAAACCTTTTTACCCACCATCTATGGCACTCTTTAAAACGAACGTTAGCATCATAGCGCTCACTTGATAGCCAAGAGCTCCGAATCGCACCCTGCCGGGGCGCCGTTCGACACGACTGCTTCAATTTAGTGAACGAATATAATACCTAAAGCTTGTCCGAAAACGGAAAGATCAAAGTTCACATATAGGACATGATGTAATGATTTTTTTTTTCTTGTGATTTATCAAGGAAAGTAATTGGTACTAAGGGACTAAGGGAATTAATTAGTGCATTTTTTTCAGACACAAATAGAATATTTCTTAAAAGTTATACATTTAATTTGATTTTTGTTCTATCCACGTTACGTCAATTAAAACGATAATTTTGGAAAATGAAATTTTTTTACTAAAATTTTAATTTTGATTTTTTAGATATCCATTTTGATTTTAGTACGAAAATCAATACTTTAAGAATATTACATAAAAGTAATTCAGTCGATTTTTTTACTACATGCATGGGTTCCACGCATCTGCTGTCACATACATACTTTATATATTAGACTAGCCGTCCCGGCCAGGCCCTGCACTGGTCTCTATGAACAAGACGTATCTGTAAAGTACCAAGATTTGTGTATGTTTTAAGCAGCATATACCAGTTATTGCCCGGTTTTAGAAAATATATTACTTTTCCAATTAAATGTCTATATGTAAATATGGACGCATATCCCTAAACCTAACTCGAACTGTAAACTTAACCCTAACCACAACCAATCACAACAAAAACAAAAACAGAAACGCAAACACAAACGCTAACGCAAACTAAAACACTAACCCAAACACAAACATAAATGTAAACTTAACGCACACGTAAATGTAAACATTAACACAAATGCAAACAGAAAAACAAACAAAAACAAACACAACTCAAACACAACTCAAACAGAAAAGCAAACACAAAAGCAATCACAAACGCAGCAAACACAAACAAAAACTCAAGCAAAAACACTAATGCAAACACAAACATCATAATCATACCTTTTAAAGAAGTGTTTATTTTGTTATTTATTTAATTTTTTTGTATGCCACATTTATTTGGGACAAAGGAGCGTAATGTGTATACTTTTTCAAAGAAAGTTGGAATTTTGTAAAGAGTAGCCTAATATATTTATTTTAATTTTGTTCTTTTCACTCTTTGTCAATCAAACTGAAAGTTGAAAAAATGAAAACTAATTTTAAAATTATCAATATTGAGCTTTTTGATCGACGATTTCGATTTTATGTCAACAGTATACGTTTTAAGAATATTAGTCGAGTTTGTTTTATTATACCAATATATACCACGGGTCCGCTGTCCGCTACATACAGAGACACAGCGTCCGTATGAGCCTTACATGTTAGATTTTAGGGATAAATGCAAAGAAACCGGAAATTTCAAATATTAAATATTCCTTTGTCCTTGAAGTGATATCTCTAACCTTTGACTTCAACCTTAGTCTGTACAATATAAACTTAATAGTTTTGGCTGCAGGTTAAGCACCCAAGGCAATTTTTCTACAGTCGTGGAATTTGTGTGTAAAAATAACGAAACTAAACACATATACAGTTTCTACAACTAGATCTATATAACATGCAATGATTATAATACATTTGACTCGAAAATGTATAGAATGATAGAGATGTGTTTATTGTTTTAAAAAATGTGTATTTTATGCAAAAGAAGAAGCCACAAGTACAATACGACATAAAATCAAACCTCTAAGTCATAGGTAAATTTGATCATCACAATAATCTCTTTCATTATACAACACATCCTCGTTATATCTTACATCATCTTACATCCTCATTTCTGTTTATTTAATGTTAGCTTGTACATAGGCCTCGTTTTAGTTCCAGAATTGGTTTTAATATTTAAAAAAAACGGTGGCAGGACCATAAGGTATAATATACTAGTGTTGTTTGTTTGGTTTTTTGTTTTTTTGCTAGCATGGTTATTAAGATCATGTTTATGGTCGAAGCAATATTCAGGGCTAAAGTGAATTCTAAACTCATGATTATGTTCGTGGCTAGAGTGAAGGCTATTTTGGGAATATTAGCTAAAAATAGTAATCTAAACATAGTAGGAAGACAATAAAAATGTTTTATTTGCTGATAAACGAATAACACTTATTCATATTTAATACAGTTTCGTTAAATTAAAATGTTTTAAAACAATCATATGAATACCTTTTGAACAATGTGTTATAGTCTGCAAACATGAAACAAGTAATTCATGTAATTCAGAATTTTTTTTTTACTTTCCATTACATCATTTAACATTTCTATTGCAAATTATGGTTTTAACAAGTTAGACAACAGTAATAATACCAGTGTGTATTACTTTGATTGTTGAATATAAGTGTTAATTATATTTGGAACATTACATTACAATACTGTAAGCAAGCAACATTTTATTGTCATTTAAAAATACATTAATTAGAAACATTTTTTAAAGCTTTTTACTTTATAATGTCATACGATTCTCTCTCAAGATATTTTTATGCATACATTTTATTACAATTAAAAATGAAATAACTTTTCCAACACCAATTTAAAGGAGGTTAAAACCAAGTTATATTTAGCACATTTCAGTTTGTGAAGTAATGGATTTCAACATTTTTCAATGTACTAAGCGTCAGAAATTAAAAGAAAAATTGTTTTATTTAAGCTACATTTAAAATACATTGCACTTAACGGTAAGTAGTTGTTAGAGTTTGGTTTGTGTTTGCTTCATTTATCTTTTATGTGTTTTCTTTTACCGTATCCCAAAAGTTTGAGCGCTGCACGTGCCCAAGGTGGAACCGGATAGACATCAGGTGCACCGTTGATATGACTTAACACTGATGGTGACATCCTGTACAGACATCTCATAGGTGACAGCATCACGTGGCTAACGTGATGTGGTAGCACATCAATGTAGCAGGAAGCCACAGCACTGTCAACCACAATTGTGCCGCTTCTGGTGAAAGGTGCGTACATGCCTCTCTCCAATTTGTAGGTTATTTTTACCACCTTAGACCAACCAAAGCCTGGATCCGCTCTTGTAAGAAGTTCATCTCCGACTCCGACAACACTTGCAGCAACAAAATCTTCCTTGTTGTTTTTTCTACATAAAATAAGATGATCTTGTGAAAGTGTGACTTGTCCAGATTCAGTTTGAAGTACAACAAATAATGTTTGACCATCTTTCTCTTGATGGCCAAACATGTAGATCTCATCGTAGATAACTCCTCTGTTTTCATCAATCGCTAGAACTTTCATTCCGGTCGTCAAGTTTTCTATTTTGATAGCTCTCCCACATTCAAGGTAAGCAATTGAACTCCCGGGAAAACACTCAATTAAGCGACGAATTATGTTATATACCATCAATGCAATTCTTTGATTTTCATATACAATTAAACTTAAGCATTCGAGTAGAGTTTTAATAGCGTTGTCGTTTTTGAGAAGAGGTTGACTAATGGCGCTGTTTTCAGAGTATTTAGCTTTTACACAATTCAAAGCAGTGTGCAAATGCATTATTTCACCATTTGTTGGGGTTCCTAATATTACATAAAGATGTTCTATTTCTTTAACAGTATTTTCCTCTATAGGTAAACCATTTTTCAAACTACACAAATCTTTAAAGATTGAATCACAAGAATGTATAAATATATCTTTTAAATAGATGCTGTCTTTAATAAATCTGGCTCTTAGCTCTCTTGCCTTTGCAAATAACTCATTTGTTAAAAGTGAACCCCTCAATGAATCTATGTGATTTATCAGAAGAACTAATTGTTCCTTTCGTAGTACCTTATCGTTTGTTGTATTATCAAATAACGCACATCGATTATTACATTTTTGCAATAGACGTTTAGCATACGTATTATTTTGGCTACTCAGCCAATCAGTGAATGAAATATTGATATTGTTTTCATCCTTTTTAAAATTATCTCCATAAGTCATCACAATAATTCCATGTGATTCGAGAGCATCTTTCCCAAATAATGACTGCAGCATCTCAATGCATTTTATTTCCTCTTGTGTGATTCTTGTATTATACCTAATAATAATTATGATTGCATGAAAACCATCACTGCACCTCGAAATTCCTTTACTAATGGCTTCTATCATAGCTGAGTATATTGTTGAACCTTGTATAATGTCCGTATCAAAAACGCCTGGTGTATCAACACATGTTAAATGGCGATTATCAACTCTCGAGCTTTGAATGTTTGAATCTAAGTCTTTGGTAACCGAGGAAAATCCTGAACCTGTTTTAAAAACGTCTTTCTCTAAAATCCGATTTGCCGTTGTACTTTTCCCGTGACCACTTTTCCCAACTACGATTAGTTGTATGTCATCACCTGGAGGAAGTGTGTGGGTAACCTTCTACAAAAAAATAATAATTTTAAAATGAGAAGTAATGTGTGCATATAAATTTAAAAAGAGTAACTTTGCTAAAACAGCAGATATTTTTATGTAAAAATTGCGTTGTATAGATAAGTATTGACAAAGAAACAAAAGCAAAACATTACGCCGCTCTTGGATATTTTTGCAGCACTGACTAGAATACATTTTTTTAAATCTGTAAATGTTCTTTCGTTAGAGTGTACACGCATTTAAATACAAAACCAACAATTGATAATTTTCTTAATTTAATAGTAACAGCTTGACCCTCCCCCTCCCCTAGTTTAATTGGTCCTAGAATTTCATTCAATAGGATCTATACCAGCATTGTTGGAGCTCACTTCTTAGTCTTTTTATATATGGTTTCATTCAGATCTTAACACAAGGCTAATACGTTGAGTAAAGAAGTCGTAATTTTTTACGGTATGTTCAGAGGCCAAAACGCAATCAGGAAGTATCTCAGTTCTAGCTACTACGTTAGGGAAACTATTCCATTATCTTTTGTTCTATAGAGAATTACATTATCAGCTCAAATACATTGTTTTTTTTTTAAATATACTTCTTTTATTTCGTGCTTTTCTCACACTTTTTGCGTTTTAACAAAATAGCTTGACGTGATTTTTTAGAGTACTCCACAAATTCTATTTCAAAGTTCTTCCACCTAACCGAAACATGATTCAAGTAATCGTTTTCAAACACACACACACATTTTTAACATGTATATGTTAAAACACATTAAGATATATGTATAATTATGTACTATGTATGGCCTGAAACATTAATGTAACACATTACAAATAATCATGTCACCTATAAAAAAATGAAAGAGTAATATTAGTCTGTGTGAGATACTGATAATAAGCGAGTGCGATGCTTTTGCAATTGTGTAAATATTAATTGGCCTTTTCCTTTGACATTTCACTTTCTCCTGTGAAATTTTCCTGAAATAAAAACGAAATTACATCCATTTAGTAAATAAAAGTAAAAAAATCAATGTAATTATATTGCAACCTACTTTAACATAATCGTCGATTGAGCAAGGTTTATTTTTTTCATGTTCGACCCAACTCAGCTGTTGTGTATCTATCAACTGTAAATTTAGTTGAGCAATAGCTTCTTGAACTTTCTGTGAAAGTTGAATCAAATCCTGCTTGTAAATACTGTGATCTCTTTCCACAATAAAAAGGAATTCTTTCTTCGTGAGCAACCACTGTATAAAATATAGAAAAAAATTATGCAACTAGCCGTCCCGGCTAGGCACCGCACTGGCCTCGGTGTCCGGTTAAAAAACCCTGGACAAAAACCCCCTGGACAAAAATCCCCCGACATAATCCCTCTGGACATACCCCCCCACCCCCCGCCGCCTTGAACCCCCCTGTACAAGAAACCCCCGCGATATAAACCCCCTGGACAAAAAACCCCCGCGGTATAAACCCAATGGACAAAAAAAAAACCAATTGAGGTTAATTTAAGGAAAAACCAAAGATGATTAGAACCTAAATTAATATATAAATACAAAACAAACATTAGAAATAGTCTGCAATTGGAATTGCTTCTTGTGGGAAAATTTCCAATAATTTTTCAAAGGCATAACTCATGTGTTCAATGGGAACAAAAGCCAACGCAGGTAGCATTCTGAGCTTGAGAGCAAATTCACTATCAACTTGGTAGAGTTGTTGAAGGCCAGAGTCATGTATTTTTCTGAATATATGTTGGCTAAGATGGGAGAAACATCCTTTTACCTCACACTCTGGAAATACCCTTTCAACACTTTTTATCACAGCCATAAACATAGCCTTCAAAATAATCTTTAAATTGCCTTTATTGGATTGAACGAACTCCATTCCAGAAATTATACGACTTGTGGAGAAATAAATTTGATGTCGTATTTATACAATACTCCTGTGTGCCAAGGTGGATATGAACCAAGCTTCCGCCGGTGAATCTCTCACATCTTTTGTATTGTTAAAAATGTGTTGCTTTGATCCGCACGGCTCCCACATGTCGATGACCTATATCTAAGATGTTGTCGGTGCCCGATCTTTGATTAAATTGATTTCGAATGGCATTTTTTTTAGGTAGAAACTATTTTCTTAGTCGTAAATATTAAATTAATTTAATGTAATTTTTTAAAAAAAAATTGGTTCACATTATCGTTATTATTTATTTATATAAACCTCAGTCAGGGGGTTATTATCCGGGGGGGGGGGGGGGGTTTATGTCGCGGGGGTTTTGGTCCAGGGGGTTTATGTCGCGGGGGGTTTTTGTCAAGGGGGTTTATGTCGGGGGGTTTATGTCCAGGGGGTTTTTGACCGGGAGCCCTGGCCTCTGTGGAAAATCAATCTATAAAGGACCGTGATTTTTGTATTTATTGCGCAGCACACACCAGGCATTGCCCGGATTTAAAAAACATATGACTTTTCCAATTAAATGTTTTTATGCAACTAAAACTCTAAACTCAACCTTAACCACAACTAACAAAAACCAAACACAAACAGAAACGAAAACACAAACACAAACACAAGCCTAAAAACAAACGCAAACGCAAACACTAAAGCAAACATCAACACAAACGCAAACACAAACGGAAAAATAAACGCAAACACAAACGCAAACGAAAACACAAACACAAACACAAAGCAAACTCAAACACAAACACAAACGAAAACACAAACGGAAACACAAATAGAAACACAAACACAATACAAAAAAACTAACGCAAATGCAAATGCAAACACAAACGTATAGTGCTTACTTTAGCCTGGGGCGCCAAATTGCTCCCTGCCGGCGGACACGCCCGATTCAATTTAGTGAACGACTATAATTTCATCTTATCCATAGACTATTGCATTCATTAAAACTAACGTAGGGGACATAGCGCTCACGGGAAGGCCCTGAGGACGCGGGGAATCGATTTAGTGAACGACTGCAATAACCCGTCTTATCCACAGCCTATCGCACTGTTTAAAACTAACGTATGCACACTATCGCTTACAGAATAGCCGGGGGCGCCAAATTGAACTCTGCGGCGGCGCCGACGGACGCGCCTAATTCAATTTAGTGAACGACTATAATACCCCATCTTATCCGCAAACGGAAATATAGAGGATATTTAGGAAAGTCTTCTAAATTGTTATTGATTAAAAATAATAAATAGTAAACAATACATTCAGAGTACAAAATAATTAAAAGTAAGTATTTAAAATACCCTTTATTTACCTACCAGATTGCACTCTATCAATCCATGCTAATTATATAATTATTATTTTCCAACATCAAGACATCCCCGACGTAATGTTGCTGTTGTTTTGTTTTTTGTATTTTGTTATCTATTAACGTGCTAAGAAAATTAATTCGTACATTTTTTTCCAGCCATAATTACAATTTTTGTGAAGGGCAAACTACGTTAATTAAGTTTGGAAATATTCTTTACAAACCATCAATATTGTTTTTTTTATTCATCTATCTAGATTGTAATACAAAAATAAACACTTTAAGAATATTACACAATGACGATTAATTCGATTTTTTTACTATTTGCATGTATTCCACAAACATACATACCCACAGAGCACAGAATCCCTTCCATATTTCTATATTAGATGAAAATAGAATGTGTGTACAAAGCTATTAACAAATTAGATACATTTTTTAAAATTAAAATATTAAGAGTATTATTAACTTACTTGCCATGTGATCGGAATGTACCTATATTTTAACTAAACTGGGAGCTGCCATAAACTTACTCGTAAATTCTTATATAATAGTAAGATTTGAGATAGCATTGTCAGTTTCGATGGGGTAACGATTTGGATGGTAAGTTTGTGAGAAAACAGCTAAATATTTTGAAAATAAACCTCAATATCTATTTTTTTTTATTATAATTTTTCGACTTAACCTTTTAGTTGACGTAAAGTACAAAGAGCAAAATCAAATTAAATGTATCATCTTTCAGAAATATTAAAATGTTATCTGAAAAATTATACATACTATTTCCCTTGATCGAGACAAATGACTTTTTAAAAAATGAGAATATAATTTCTGCCATTTATTTTGTTTTCATTCTGTATGAGTTTTATGAAATTTAAATGTTTTGGTAATATGCAATGTAGTAGGTGAAAAAAAAAGTCATTTTAGCTATTACTTTTATTTATTTTATACTCTAAATCAGTGGTTCCCAAACTTTTTTTCGAGTGGCGACCCCCTTTTATAAAAAGTAAGTGACCCGCGACCTCCATAGAATTAAAAAGTCAAAATTAGTTCGGAAATTAATAAGCACTAAAATACAATTTCCTGTAGACTGTCAATATAAATCATTATTGATAACTGTTGAAGCGATGTGTGAAATTGCATGCTATTCACTAGCCTCAACGGTTGAGTTTTTGTTAACGCCAACCTCATGTCATTCTCAGCATGTTATTTATTTCTTTTTTTTTAATTGGAGAAGTGTTGAGAATCTATTCTCGCAAAGATATGTAGACACAAAAGGAACTAAAACTCAAAAGGCAATCGATTTAAAGTTTGGGTATGAATGGTGCATACTACAACACAATTGTTTGAGCAATTTTTTCCATTTAACATGATACGTGTCGCGGATCCATTTCGCAAATTTTAGAATTCATCTTGTAATTCATCGGATATGCTGGCAACATCGAGGGGAGGCTGAGAATGGGTTACGTGACATTGCGGATTCTTCTTCTTTTAGCTCAGGGAAAATAACGAAGCAGTTCGTTTTCAAGAGATTCAAGATCCTCAGAATCCTCTTTCAAATTTTTATTTATCTCACAATCAGATACATCTACCACACTGCATAGTTTCTCAAACATGGCAATATTTCCAATATGTATTTCTTTCGCCAAATTTGCAGTTTAATAAACATTCCAAGAGAGATAATATTCGTTCATTTTCAGGTTAAGATTATATTTTTTATTATATCTACTAAGTATGCTACTCTCTCAAACCACTCTTTGTCGTTAAAGTATATCAAAATGTCGTGTATCCTTTTTACTACCAAGAACCACTTGATTTCATCTTTAATTTAAAAAAAAACGATTCACAACAATTCATTTTGACAGCCAGCGTACTTTAGTGTAGATCCTCGTGATCTTTATTCATGTCTTTGCACAGTTCATGAAAGAGACAGGTGTTTAGGCCTCCAAATTAAAAATAATTTACCTTTATTAGCAATGGAGTTGGAAGAGCCTTGTTGGTGAGGGCATTCCGGTGAATCATTCAATGGATTCCCCTTCATTAGGGAGTTAACTCTTTAACCTTTTTTCTGAAAGCCTGATTTTGACCCAAACATGTCGCACCATATGTACAAACCCCACAGCCGTTTTCTCATTTTAATCATCCAGTTTTTTTAAAAAAAACGTATTTGTTTCGATTTTTTCTTCGCAAAATAGCAACTCTTCTTTGCTATAATCTGAATGAATATATTTTACAAAGACAAGCAACTGCGAACACGAACTCATGTCTGTTGATTCATCAACTTGAAAATAAAAAAATGGTTAAAGTTTTCATTCAAAATTTGTTTTTTAACATCTACGTACATGTCTGCTATATTGATGCATTTTTACTGCACTGGAATCCCCAAAAAATAATTTCACCATCTTCAACTTGCAGGATTCTATGAGATTTTATGCAATTGTGTGAGTTTTTTTTTTTTTTTGCTTGGCAATTTCCAATGCGACTTCATATGATGCTTGCACGAATGCTGTGTTTTCTTGGTCAAGACTTCCTTTTCGATCACGTCGACGTTTGCAACTAGCTTCTTGCCGTCAAAAGAACTCCAAATCTTTTTTTGGTGTGTTCCGAATGACTCGTCTCAAAATAACGTGTTTCATAGACTAACGACTGAGAACGACTTTTAAAATGTTTCTAAAAATATATGTTTTGTTTTCATGCTAGGGTGTAGTCTACCAGTTTGACGACCCCTCAGAAAGCCCTTTGCGACCACCTGGGGTCGCGACCCTCAGGTTGGGAACCCATGCTCTAAATGTACGGTTTACTAATTATTAATTGAATCTTTAATGTATAATAATTATGTCCTCATTATGAATTCTTTATGGACGCGTTTATATCTTGTTTATATTTATGCGTGCGTTTACGTTTGTCTACATTCCCGTTTATGTTTGCGATTGCATTGATTTTTGCGTTATTGCTTGCGGTTTGTTTGTTTTTTTTTTGTATTTTTTTTTTTTTTTTTTT